CTTTCTTCCTCCCCTTTCTCTCTCTCTCTCTCTCTCTCTCTCTCTCTCTCTCTCTCTCTCTCTCTTTCTCTCAGCATTCGATGGGGGGGGGGGGGGGGGGGGTCGTGCACCCAGAAGATATCCAGGACGATATATTTCATATGTCAAAGAAAAAGAATATCAAAACATGATAATACAAGTACATGCAATGTATATCTTTCTTTTCGACCAGGTATCTGTAAGTGCTCCCCTTTTCTCCCAAAGTGCCATTTTTTGGCAATGTCCCCACTATGAGAGCATTTGAATGTTCACTTGGAAGGGTTACTTTTTATCGCAGGCATCAGTGTTATCAGTGTCTGTGATATGGTGGAATATTGAAGCCCAGAATTGCGCTTCAAGATGATCATGAAGTGCCTCAAAAAAGTAAAAATCTTTGAGTGACTGGTTTTACCACTCATTTTCCCCAATAGACTGTAGTGTTATAAAAACTGTTAGGAAAACGGAAAATTAAATTCTGATTTCCAATCATAAATATCTTGATAATGAGACAGGCGATCGGCTAGTAAAAGTCATTGGATTCCTGACTGACCTAAAAGTTTATAATTATGATTGCAGCATGAGCTAAATCAAGGATTTTTGGAATCTGAGGCAATGTTACGAGTCACTTTTAAGGTATGCCAGAATGGGTTTTGCATCACGTCCCCTTCCCCTCCCCCACCAAATAACACACAAAGCATCTTCACTGACCCAGCTTGAGGACTCACAATCATCCAAACTAACAAATACAGTACTATACACACACAGGCACACACACTCATGCAAATTCACCCATTAAAGGTACTATGTCCCATTTGCAGGCCAAAAAATGAAAAAGTTAAATTCCAACTGCATTTGAAAGATAATACTAATTTAGAACTTCCCTAAAAAAGGTGGGGCTTGAAAATGTCTTCAAGTGGGAAAATAACGACTATTAGTTGTCAAATCGACTTTAGGGCTATAGAGCCCAAAAGTAATAGTCTTGATTTTCAGACAATTGTACCGAATGGTCATACGTTTTATTATGCGCAAATATTCAATCAGTTTAATCTTGGCCATCACAAGAAGTGGGTTATTGATGTAGACAAATGCTCATGTATACCCTTTACAACTCTTTTCATGTATGTTATTACCAAAGAAGAAAAAAGCCAGTCAGTCACTCAATAGTATAGTATTAATGACTGCTTTGAGAGAAATAGTTGTTTTATTACGCTCAAGGGAAGGTTAGAATTGTGCTATTCCCCGAGGCTTGCCGAGGGGAATAGCCCAATTGTAACCTTCCCGAGAGCGTATGAAAACAACTATTTCTCGAATATTAAAGCAGTCATTAATACTTTTATATGCCGAAAAAAAAATAGACTAAAAAATAAAAAATAAAAAATAATTTACATTGTAGTCGAAGACGGGATTCGAACTCTTGCGTACAACAAGAGGTGTATCGAAAACCAACACTTAGACCACTCGGCTATCGCGCGACGTTAACATGCTAGGCAGTTTTCTCCAATATATACATTAAAATGGATTGAAAACGGCTCCGCGTGAGGGATGCTTCGCAAAAGCTCCATGAAACGGACCCTTCTTTTACTTTTGCAATGCATATTGGCACGAACTTAGATCAAGATCTATCGGCAGATGTTGTTTTTTTGTTTTTGAGAGTTAATTTTCGTCTTCATGTCAACAATGCAAGATAAAATTGTCGGTAAGATCGATCGAGATTCAATTGTATTGAAATTGCCGACCAATTTTTCGCACACGTATGGTATCCTCCATCGCTCAAACCATTTTTTAACATGTAAACCTATGGGGTAACCATGGAGACTGACCTATTTTTTTAATAACCATGGTTATTAAAAATATTGAAATGTTTTATGCATGGTTACCGGGAATTTTACAGGAACAGTTGAAGTTTATGAATGCAATTCGACCAATCAGATGGCTGGATTTCTTAAGTGAGGTATATAATGTCTGACAGTGAAGTCTAGCAATTAAACGGGTTTCCTTGAATAATTTGAATATGAGGACACTGCTAACGTTTAAATTTCACAGATAGGACATACATGACATATTCATAATTCCTGCAAAGTTCTACAGCATTTGAGGTTGGCTGCAAAAGGGACATAGTACCTTTAAGCAAAGATCAATTAATTAACATACTAATCATAAATTGATCTGAACTGACCGGTACAGCGTAATGACCCCAAAATATATTCACCTAAGCAAACACATCTATTAAATCAACATCCATACAAAATCAACCAAACTGCAAAGTCAGAAGTTAGAAGATAAACTCACACATTTCTCCAGAGGCAATCATGTGTTCTTTGTGCCACTTCACAATATTTAATATTTAGAAGGCACATAATTCATTGAACAATCTGACATGTATACAAACAGTATATTAGATCAGTACTGTTGTTCTTGTTTTTATACAAAATGAAATGAAAGAAACTCTACAATGTCATTAAAGAAACTCTGATATCCATATTGTAACTGGAAGATATAAAGAAAATATATTTTTGGAAAATCATATCATATAGATAGAAAAGACAATCCATATTAAACGTCTCTACGCAACCAAAACATTCCTTTAAATTTCAGAATGTACACAAGAAATGTTGAAGGTTTTTACTTGACTATTTTGCTTATAACATTGAGCAAGCAAAAATACTATTATCATGTCACACGCTTGTAGTATGGTTGGCTGATTATGAAACCAGATTTCATCTTGTCTAATAACTATACTACACTGGATATATCATTTCCATCTTACCCTTTAATATCAAAAGTCTTTTTCACTATGTTTCATAGTTCAAATGAAGCATTCATCAGTCATTTAGACACGCTTTTGTCCCTTTTAACTAGAAACACACAAATTCTTAGAAAATAAATTCAGATTAATATTCACTATACAAATTATACAAACATATGACTAAACATGGAAACTGTTAGTAATTACATTAAAATACCTCAAGAACCTTTGGTCTATCTGACTTCCAACTAGCTGTAGTGTAACTTAGGATAGCAAACCAGAATTGTTACTTTGACAACACCCAACCATTCCCTGCAAAGTTACATCACAAGATTTAGAGGTAGTTTTAGTTCTACAAGTACTAAGATTAGATGAGTAAACAAATATTGTACAAGATTTTAAACCTCCATTTGAATGTTTCTATAACTTCCCAGCATGCAGCTTAAACTTCCAAGCTCAAAAAAACAAAAATATGAGAATTATCAGAAAATGGGATTACTCCACAAATTCCCTTTCATTTTGCTTCAATTTATGAATTATTGCAAGACGGTATGGAAATGCATACATTTTAAATAATACAATGGTATAAACTTGGCACTTCCTTTCGTATAAAGTGCAACACACAGGTTGTATGCTTCGGTGATACACAATACAAACACAATACTTCTCGTACATTTTAAAAAGACGATCACAAACCTTATCATTTTGCTGACATTAATGCTATATTATCTTGCTGATAGGTCAAAGGTTACATGGGAGCTGGGGTGGCTGGCCACAAATAGAATATGTCAGAAATATAAGCAGCGAGGTTCACGATATATTCATACAGATACATTGTACATGACAACAAAATAAACAAGTTTAGTTAATCTCAAACAAAGAGGGAAGTTAAAAACATATTTGCATAAATCAACTTTGTATCAAACCTGCGTTTCTTGCATCCCTGCGGATCACTCTCTGTATCCAATGTCCTTCAGACGCTCTTCATATCTCCCTTACTATCCAAACAATACTATTGAACTGTTATACATGATTTTGTTCTCTTTTGTATTAAGTAAAAGAAATATTAACAGCATAAAAATAACATATGAAAGTAAATAAACTGCATGGAAGTTATAATACCCTAACTCTTTGTTGCTCATTGCCAAGTGTTTTTAACGATAGTAAGGCAGTTCGAAGGTCAAGCAGTGTTTCATACATACTTTACAATAAGAGTTCCTCTATAAATACCTTCCTGCTTTAATAAAGGGTTTATACAAACAAACCCAACACTACAAAAAAGCAGTCGGCTATAATAAAGCTTCTTCTTATCCATAGAAAATCAACTAGCTAATTCATGATTGAATATAAAATGGAAAATATCAAACATTAATGTACACTTTTTACATGATCCATAGCTTCATGGTTTTCTTTCTTATATAATATTACAAACTTGGATTGATTAACATTGATTGTTTATAACACAACCCTGCAATTCTATTATATAAAGCTCATTCCTCCGCAATGACTTAGTCTATACATTTATGTAATAGAATTTATAACAAAATACATACAAAATTCATTTTCGGCTCTCACAATTAATAGTTCAAATAAATGTGTAAGTCTAACAAATACTTGGATTAACGTAAGAAAAACTCATTTTCCATTCAGAGTTTTCTCACATCAGTTCAAATAAATGTGTAAGTCTAACAAATAATTGGATTAATGTAAGAAAAACTCATTTTCCATTCAGAGTTTTGAACGCCGCACTTTATTTGAAGAAATACATGTTTGGACAAAAACAATGAATCATTTTACCTTTGTATTCTATTGGAATATACTAGTGCATTTTTACAAACATAGCTTTGGTGTGAAATCAAGCCTTGATAAGAAAATGAAGAGAAAAGATATTCGAGCTGATACAATCATCAACTTAGAAATATTTGTATAAAATGTTATTGACCGAGTATTTCAGATAATTTGAGTAGATGAAAGTGGCACAATTAAATATGTTTTATTTAAGTGAGACAACATGAAAAGGGTTGGGAACCGACAAGAAATTCAATATTAATGTTTATAAGATGATGAAGCGGATCCTAATCAAATGATTGGTTGAGAGCCTACATGTGACCAGGCATTTATTTTGCCAAACACATAATTTTACTAATGACCGGTCATTAGTAAAATCATGTTATAAAACATCATTCTACGTAAAACAAATAAAACATCCATCTTACAAAACAAATAATACACACCATTTTGTTCAGGCATTAGTAAAATTACCCACACTCAGTACCTTCAAAACAGTTCAAACACCCTTGGCTATCGCCTTGGGCGTGTTAGACTGTTCCAAAGGTACCTTGTGTGGGTAATTGTTCTATTTATATGTATCCTCAACAAATACATTTCAGCGTTTAGGCTGCAGCATGTTTTTTTAAATAAACCGTAGAATTGAAGAAAGAAAAAAAATTGAAAATATATCTTATGAGGTGACAGGTACCAGGGTTGCAAGGTATCATACTGATGATCAGGGGGGGGGGGGGGCAATTAAGGAAAAAAATCATCTTTTCTATTTTATAGGACAGAACTGAAGATCCGTATCGTGATGAAATTGGCGGTACAGATGGACAAAATCTGTTTGCGTTTCTTGCGTGTGCATCCTTGAGCGTACGACAACAAACAAACTACAAAGGAATAGAAAGCTAAGCTGCTGCGGCATAGAAAGTTGAGTCTGTGTGATCTCTGAAGCTCAAGCTACTACACGTAGCTGGCTCAGACCATGTTCTGATAATCTTCAAGAAGCTTGAAGTTTCGGAGTCCAGCGGCTTTGACAGGTTTGTGATTCGACGGGTACGCCTCAAGATTACTTACAGGACATAGGCTTTAGATTGTAGTGGAGCTGAGTTTCTTGAGTTTTCTCCTCTGTGCAAGGTTGGAAGCTGTTACTGGTTCTAGAGGGCCCTGTTCAGCTTGAGCCTGGTTGAGAGCCTTGAAGGTTGCTTTCACAGCAGACTGCAAAAAAACATCAAGATTATTATCATCATTTTTTTAATAGTCTTTGATAGGTTTGTGATTTGATGAGCAAACATTAAGCTAATTGTAGGATGTATGTTAAGATTGTCAGTAGTTTAGCTGAGTTTCTTAAGTTTCCTTCTCTTTAATTTCAATGGTTGATAATAATAATGAATAATAATAGGCATTTATATAGCGCCCTCTATCTAGACAATTCTATTTCAAAGCACACAAGAAAAATAGAAAGAATGAGAGAGTTCGGATGAGTGGCAAAGTGCCAAGTACAGGGAAGAAAACTTCACGTACCTAAGTGTTGACTTTAACTTTTAAATTACAACTCAAATCAAGAAAAGTATTAATTGAGGACAGCAGAATAATTACCTTAACTAAAGTTGTTTCTGGTGCCTTGAGTTTGGTTTCTGAGAGTAGATCAATCCTCTGGAACCAGGTATGTTGTAAGACTTGCTTGGTACTAGGTCTCTGGAATGGATCTACATGTAGCATCCTGGAGATCAGATCCTACAACAAGACGAAACATAATAATAATCCTTTCCCGTATAGCGCATAAAACATTATGAATTTAACGTTCCTATGCGTTTCCAAAGAGCTTTGGAAAATATTACCCTAGCTTTAGCTCCGACAGGTGTTATCTGTGCAAGTCTATTTCAAGGAATAATCCTACCAGGTACCCATTTACCTCACCTAGGTGGAGTATGGCAAATGTAGAATAACGTCTTGCCAAAGGACATTAGTGTTGGTACAGGAATAAGATTAAACTCAATACAAGTCATCTAAGCAATGGAATAAGATACATGAGATAACTTCATGAAAGAGGCTTATATCTAAACCATGCATTATAAAGAGTTGCGATTGATCCTGATCCAAATCCATCGCAAGTCCTCTAATCAATCGCAAGTTTGCTATCCCCTATATTTTATGTACATAGTTGTGATTGATATCAATCGCAAATAAGTCGCAATCAATATCATCTCATTATAAGATGGGGCCCTGATCCTAGGACAACACCACACATCAATACATAAATTCACATACATGTATACGTGTTGCTTCAGTTCTCATTATACAGTAAAACCTCACATCTTTGCGTACATGAAATGTTCATGAAATTCAAGAGAGATTGCAGATTTGAGAAAGTTGCATGTTGCGAAATAAAAAACAAAACACCAAATTTTCATGATTCATGAAGTTTCTTGTATTACCCTGAGGACTTGGTTTGTGCTTACCTTAGCTCTGTCTGAGATGTTGTCCCAGTTTCCTCCGTTCATAGTGAGGTATTTACCTTCCTGTATCCTGGCTAAGATCACCTTACTTGAGTCATCAGGCTTGTGAACAAACGGTGTGAACCTACAAAGACAGATAGGAAGAAAAGATTACTTATTAATGTCACTTTGGAGACTTACAGTTTATTCATACCCCTTATAATTTTGATTTTTTTTTTTTTTTTTTTTTTTTTTTTTTTTTTTTTTTTTTTTTGTAACTCAAGATCAATAGGTGGACTGGTTGAGTTAGGGTCTTCGTTGAACATTTTTAGATCGAAGCTTTGATATGTCATTTTCAACAAAAATAAAACGGGCCACATTGATTTTTCACATAGATCTAAAATGACAATGCTTGGCTAGGGTATGAATAATTTAGTAGTTAACTGTACATTAAAGCTAGTTATCTTGATGTCCCAGAAACACTGGATGGATATATACCGGTATGTAGAGGGACCTATAGAATACAATTCATTCTTAAATGGCCATAGGAATAGACAACTGCATTGCATACCTGCCATCTTGTCTACAGCAAACATCAATAATAGAGTTATACTGAATATTTCACATGCTTACATAAAGAGGTTTTCAGAAATCAAGAGAATATACAGTTCATAAAATTAAGGCAGAAAATAGGAATCCTTGTCCTTGTATACATGTACATATGAAAGAGTGAGATGTATAAAGGAAGTGTGGTTGAAGAAGATTCAAAAGCTTGAAAAGTACAGTCAAAGCTGCTTTAAGAACCACCTGTCTACAAAGACCACATTTTTGTTTCCCATGAAAATGGTTTCTCATTGAACAATGTACTAAAGGAACCTGTACATAAAGACCACCTGCTTATAAAGATCACTTTTCTTGTCTCTCTTGGGTGTTCTTTATAGACAGGTTTGACTGTATCTGATAATGTAATAGGACCTACCCTGCTAACATGGTGTAGAGAATCACTCCTAAACTCCAGATGTCACAGGCTGCATCATAACCCTGTTTCTTCAGCACCTACAATAAAAGCAAACATACAATTAATTCATTAATTAAACTTATTTATTAATTCATTTATTAAGTCATTTATTTTGGATGTTTATACTGGGTGGCACATTTCACCAATTATGGTGGTCTTCCATTGAGACCCTGTTTGGTAATAATGCTATTCAATAAAAATCATCAATAAAAATGGATAACAGCAACAAAACAAAATAGAGAAATAGAGAAATGTATACAAATTAATTGGTATCCTCATGAAAAGCAGGATATTCCAGAAATACTGTTTTTTAATTTCTTATATCTTATTGTATGTAAAGACAGTTATTAGTGGATAGAGGGATCACAAGGAATTTCTTAGAATATACCGTTTAGAGAGTTACTGTGAAGCCTTGTTCTGATATGTGGTAAACTGCTGCATTTTTTTCTTTCATGAAGTAAGTGTGATATGCTTCTGTAACTTATAACACAGAGCTTTAATAGGGGAATACTTGTAGGACTTTTGTAGGGTGCAGATGCCATTTATTTACATGTTTTAAGAATAAAGGTGGGGTTATTACTACTTAAAGGTACTATGTCCCATTTGCAGGCCAAAAAAATGAAAAAGTTAAATTCCAACTGCATTTGAAAGATAATACTAATTTAGAACTTCCCTAAAAAAGGTGGGGCTTGAAAATGTCTTCAAGTGGGAAAATAACGACTATTAGTTGTCAAATCGACTTTAGGGCTATAGAGCCCAAAAGTAATAGTCTTGATTTTCAGACAATTGTACCGAATGGTCATACGTTTTATGCTGCGCAAAGATTCAATCAGTTTAATCTTGGCCATCACAAGAAGTGGGTTATTGATGGAGACGAATGCTTATGTACCCTTTACTACTCTTTTCATGTATGTTATTACCAAAGAAGAAAAAAAGCCATTCAGTCACTCAATAGTGTCTGACAGTGAAGTCTAGCAAGTAAACGGGTTTCCTTGCATAATTTGAATATGAGGACACTGCTAATGTTTAAATTTCACAGATAGGACATACATGACATATTCATAATTCCTGCAAAGTTCTACAGAATTTGAGCTTGGCTGCAAAAGGGACATAGTACCTTTAAGATACTGAACAAGCCTTAAGTCAACATAGACATTCCTAGCGGTTCATATATTTTTCACATAAAGGCAATTACCAGTTCTAATCTTTTCAGGGGAGTTTTTAGTTGGTATTATCTCTTGTTTACCATAGGATTCACACAAGTTTATATTTTCAGCCTACAAAAGGGACACACCACCTTTAAGTCAACATAGACATGACTATTCAGTGATTTTATTGCAACCTGTTGACTGTAATCAGTATCACAAAGCTTTGGGCGAGCTATCTTTATTATGGAGAGGATCAAATTACTGAGCCCCCACTTGTTTTTCCCTGAGTAAGGGAGAGATTAAGCACAATTTACCTCAAGTACAGAAATGATGAATGAGATAATTTGTAACAAGGCACCTAACAAAGACTTGTGCATTCAATTTTATTACATTAAATTACGAAAACAGTCTATTGGACAAAGTGTACTAACCTCTGGAGCTACAAAGTTGGCTGTATAACAGGGTGTCATCAGCATACCATTATCAGCTCTCATCTGTTTAGCAAAGCCAAAGTCAGCTATCCTCAGTGTACCAGGTGAATAGGTCTCATCGGCATACAAGATATTACTAGGCTTCAAATCACGATGTACAACCTATGGCAAACAATCAAATACAGTAAACAGAATATAATAATAAAAATAATAATAGGGAAATTCATATATGAATATAATCTAATGCGCTTAATACAAGGTATATTATTACCCTGGCTGTAGCTGAGCTGCCATGATAAGGTGCTAAAGCAATCAAGGAATTTCTTTTTATCGGGTACCCATTTACTTTACCTGGGTGGAGAGTGGCAAATGTAGATTAATGCCTTGCCAAAGGACATAAGTGTCGCGGCAGGACTCAAACTGTGAACCATATGATCCACAGTCTAGTGACATATCCGCTAGACCACGACACCTCTACTAGGATTCAAATCACAATGTACAACCTATACTCACACAATCAAATAAAGCAGGATTACATTTAATTTGATGTCATAAAAGTTTAGGCATTAGCAGGAACTCAAGATCCAAATGCAACAAAAAAGAGTCAACACAAAGGATTTAGCCTTTTATTATGTTAAAGGGATCGTTTAACAATGTTAAATCTGAGATACACGGCCCTACGTGTTATCAGTGTCTGTGATATGATGTAATATTGAAGCCCTACAAAAATTGCGCTTCAAAATGATCAAGAAGTGCCTCAAAAAAGTAAAAAATCTTTGAGTGACCGGTTTTACCATACTCGTTTTCCCCAATAGACTGTAGTGTTATGAAAACCGTCAGGTGAACGGTTTTCAAAATTTGTAATTCCAATCATAAATATCTTGATAATCAGACAGGCGATCGGCTTGTAAAAGTCACGGGGTTCCTGACTGACCTAAAGGTTTATAATTATCATTGCATTATGAGCTAAATCCAGAATATGTTTTCAGAATCTGAGACAAAGTTACCGGATCCCTTTAAGTCTTATCACGTCTTACCTTTTTCTGATATTAAATTAAAACAGGTCCTTTATCAGGATGTGACTACATCAACCTCTTAAGAACTCTAGTTACATACCAGTTACAACACTAGCATCACATCCAGAAAACCTTCAGTAGCTTGACAGTGTCAAATCTGATATTTTCATTTGTGTTTGTATCAATTACCAAGTAAAAGTAAACATACTCTAACATATTTCACTACATTTTAAATATGTTGATATGAATATACCTTTTGTTGATGAAGGAAGTCCATGGTCCTGGTAACCGTTAACATGATCTCACAGGCTTCACGTTCAGAAAGAAACTTCTGTTTGAGCAGTCTATCTAGGAGCTCCCCACCTCGCATTAACTCCATAACCATGTACACATTCTGACCATCATCAAATACCTGGTGTAAAACAAAGCAAACAATTTCAAATAAAGGCATCGTTTAACAATGTTTTCAGTTGAGATGCATGGCCCTCCGTGTTATCAGTGTCTGTGATATGGTGTAATATTGAAGCCCTTAAAAAATTGTGGTTCAAAATGATCATGAAGTGCCTCAAAAAAGTAAAAATTCCAACAAGAACACACCACTACGAACTCTAACTGACTATATTAATTATTAATGCCAATCAAATAAAACCCTACAAAATGATGTTTTACAGTTATACAGTGTATTACATATTACATTTCACTATATATGACTTACATCTCTCAATGTAATGACGTTGCTATGGTGACCGTATCTAAGTAAGATCTCAATCTCCTCTCGTACATCCTTGGTGTTCTTCTTGATGATCTTGACTGCATAGTCCTGGCCTGTTGCTTTGTGTGTACACCTCTTACATACAGAGTACGATCCAAGACCTATATCCTGCAATCAGAACATAATTACCAATCTCAGGTTTAATATATCATTATTAGTATTTATTTGACCAAACATACAATGAGTATAACAATCAGTTAATACATAGAAATTTCATAATACATGCAAACAGCTTTAGGAAAGTGGAGAGGAGAGAGAGAGGGCTACAATCTGCTGGTCAGGGGTGACAAAAGCGATTAAAATTGCTATTACTTGAAAGTATGTCACCCCCCAAATGGTGGTGTGTATTAAGTCATTAGTTTGCGGATGCACCCGAGGACGAACAGTCATCCTGTTCAGAACATTGAATCTCAAGCTCTATCTCTCTTTAGGCCAAACTAGTGCAGACAGGCTTTAATACCTCAGCCTCTATCCATACAATACAAATTAGTCCTCCATGAGATGAAACTGAAAGAATATCTCTCTCTCGCGCTTTCATTTCTATCCCCTTCTCAGGACAACCCACATGGTGAAACTCAAACTTATGAATTTATTAGCAATCCCAATGATCAGAAAAAACATTTTTTATATATTCATAAATATGACGCAAGAATGCATTCATCCAATATTGTTCCAGCATATTTGTTGGTACCTGGGGCAGTCTTCTAAAAACAATGTTATCTTATATCTTCGGGAAAAAGATGTTGTCATAATAAAACTGAAATTGCACAGAACTAACACTTTCCATCGGTGTGTTTTGCGCAGATATAAAATAAGCAATGACTTGTCCTAATTTGGATTTGTTATGATGATGAACATTAATCTAGTAACATAAAAGATAACATCATTTTACGAATACCACTCCAGATCTCATCTTGACCTTACACACTATTAGCCAAGTTAAATTTCCCTTGCCAAACAGTGCACTCTTCGAGATATTCATCTATATCCAAGGTTTTCAACTTATCTTATTGAGAAATCAACAGAGTTAATAGACCCGTACCATCTTAACACTATATGAACAAAACACAAAACCCATTTGCCAATGAAATGTATTTCAAAAGGTGCTGAGCTTCTCTGCATTTGCAACGATATTCTGATTACTTTTGCAAGCTTTAATAGCACTTTCATATGACTGATTCGGGCAAAAACCTAATTATCATGGCCTTGAAAAAGATAAATATTTCACAAAAACAGAGAGCCGAAATCGTAGGACATAAACAAAAGCACAAGGAAAATGGCGAAATAAATAACGTGTTGTGATTGGCTGCTGGAAAGTAAACGTTATGCTAGCCGTTTAAAGACAACAGGCTTTATCAATGCTAACTAGAATAAGACACGTCCTCGCGAACTCTTTCTGTCAGCACAGAATAGGGATTTACTCTGATTAAGGGCATGACGAAAAAGCTTCAGAATGTCTGTATTAGTTTGCTTATTCTTTAATTCTGTAATAGTAAACAAAAATTTACATGAATATTTGTCTTTCAGTAATCATTTGAGACAGAATATCACCTTTTTTTTTAGATAGACATGAGTTAAATGAAGCAATGAATAAGAACCACTAACCTCTTGTAAGTCGTACTCATCGAGGATCGAGGAGACTCGAGCGTGCTTGATTGCAATCTAAAATAGAGTAATACAAAAATAGATATTAAATGAGTATGGCTGGTGATAATAATATTCTGGTTCTTATACATACGTTCACACTATCTCTCAGACTATAACTGGTTACGTAAGAGAACATCATTCTTGGAGGATAAAAGAGATTTTCTTGCTATAAGCTGCAGGCTGAATTCTCTATAAGTACCTGTAATCTATACAAATATTTAAAAAAAAGATAAATCCATCAAAGCAGTTGTGCATGGCTAGGTAACCATGTATAAAAACACAAAATGAAGTATTTTTCATAATCATTAAATGGGTAAAGTTGGTAATTTGATTAGTGCACGAAAGTGAGCAGGAAGCAAGGATCAGGTGTCATACAGATAGTTATCAAATAAAGTCTACTACTACTACTAACATTACTACCACTACCACTACTTAATACCTAGAAGAACTACTACCACTACTACCACCACTACCACTACTACTACTACCACCACTACCACTACTTCTAACATTACTACTTCTACTACTATTAAGCATAGAGAGTTTTTTCTTCTTATTGTTTTCTTTTCAGGAAGTTGGTAGGATTTGGTACCAATAACTACATGCATTGGATGATAAAAGATTCAGAATTTCTGTCAGAAACCTCTTGGTTACTATGGAAACAACAAACTGAGATACGTACCTGTTCTTTTGGTGATTGATGCGAGTTATTAGATTCAGCTTCTTTCGTTGCCTCTTCTAATAAAGTAGGATCAATGTAACTAAATCCTCGGAACAATTGATGAGCACCAGCACTGGGCGGTATAGCAGGTGAATCTAATCATGAAAACACAAATTAATGGGAGCTCATTGTTATCAAAATCACCCAATGAATTATATTGATTGATTGATTGATTGATTTTATTCCATTTCATACATCAATTCTTTGCACAATAAAAACAAAGTTGACAAAGTAAGTTCAAACTTCAAAGTTATGTAATGAAACAGGAACCTACAGGAAAGCACAGCTTGTTTTTGTAGGTTCCCAAGAATAAATATAATATGAACATTAATTTCATAAATCATTTTAAAGTGTCTTAATAATCACAGTAAAATAGATATAATATAATAACATTGATCTGCATGGGCCCTGTTTGATAAAAATTTGTTATCAATAACACGTTGTCATTGAATTTGATTGGCTTAAAGCAAATTTGTCGTAAATCTGAAGCAGTTGTCATTAATAAAAAAAAATTATGAAACAGGGCCCTGACTGAGCTGTGAAGACCACACTTCTCCTCCCTTCACCCCCCCCCCCCCCCCCCCTAATAAAAATAATGCCTCCGGCTACTTTGTAGCGGGGGCATGAAAACATGACTAATCATGCCCTGATCATATTCTGTAAAATCAAACTTAGTACTCATTGAGAATATGTTGAGGCCAAATAGATAAGGAAATGGTCTTAGAAACAAAGGAGATTAGGAATACACATCCAGGTTTTGTGGTAGCACCAATTAGAAAGGTACCAATCCTCAAATGGCAGGTTCCATTAGATACAACTTGGTTAATTTACTATGTAATACTAACTGTAACAATGAAGTAAAACAAAGTGCCAGTCAGCCCTTACAGATGACTACAAAGATGTAAATATGTATATAGTAATAAATCATACCCACATTACTGCTCTTTTGTTTATGTGTAGAAGGCATTTACGATTGATCGTTATAGATATCGGTGAGTCCGACCAGCCGTTAAAGATGAAATATGAAAGCTTACCTCTGGGAGTACGTGATGTGAACTCTGTATCAAAGTAATGTACTATATCACTGGTAGGTATGACTGGTCTGAAAGGTGGGGTCAGCTCTGCCTTCTTCAGTTTCTATGACAACAATAGGTCAAAGGTCAAAGGTTACAGTGATCATACATTGGGCTCAACAATTAATCAACTCATTATTTTGTGTCTGGCTTGTATTCTTGTTATATCTAAACAAAAATGATTATGATCATTGCTACATTATGAGAAGAGCTTTAGTGCACCATACAAATGATGAAAGGCAGAGGGCTCAGTGAGAGCCGATCCCAACGTGTATTTCATAAGAAAGGGAGTAATATGAAGCCATAGTATGGTGGGGTGACCATATTTCATGAATGACCTAATTTCACTTTCTCCAGAAAATCTATAAGATTTCAAAAATCTGATACCACCAATGAAAAGAGGAATTTAAAATTACCCAGAGACAAAATTATAAATAGAATTGCGTGTGAAATTATGAAAATATTTTTAAAAGATCAGCAAATATTGCATTCTTTTACGTCCGTTCCAAAAAATATGAACTATGTTGCACACAAATGTTGATGCAGATCAAGCCAGGAATCAGTCACAACCGTCCAGGGTTTCCACTCTCCTATATACTATCACTTAACTCAATAAACACTTACTTCTTGGCTCTAAAATATAAGCTGGATGAATGAAATATTTGACTATGTCATATGATTGTGGTAACTTACTTCCCAAAGGATGCTTGCGAAGAAGGCATGACTCTTGATATCATTAATACCGTTAGGACCAGCTCCAAGCCTGTTCTGAGGATTCCTCTTGAAGAGCATCCTAAGAAGACTTTGGGCTTCAGCACTCAAGAACTGAGGCATACCTAGTTTGGCTCTGAAAATCAAACAAACAATAAACAATGTTTCCATGGTTACTAATTTTGTAAACAATCTCTAGAGCTCTACAAATTCCCAGATTGGATTAGATTGGATAATAATAATAATATTTAGCTTTTATATAGCACTTAATACAAATGTCTCTAAGCGCTTTACAAATATACTATTACCCCGGTCATTGGATTCAGTGCTTGCCCGCACACACTGTGTGCACAAGCTCAACTCCCTGGGGAGCATTCCAGCCAGGCGTTACATGACGCTCAAAAACTGTTTGACCAACAATGACCGTCCCATCCTACCGGGTACCCATTTAACCTGGGTGGAGAGTAGCAAGTGCAGGTTTATATCTTGCTAAAGGATATTAGTGCCGTGTCGGGATTCAAACCCTCGACCTTCGCATTTCCAGCGGGTATACCACATAGAGGATCTCTAGTGGTCTTTAAAGCCCCACTGTCCTACTTGTAGCTACTTACTCCCTCTATATAGAAAACTTCCCCAATTGGTGCCTGTTGGTCCCCCATGATCCTCTATGTCTTATGTTATTTGAGAGCTGAGTTGATGAGATAGCCACCTGTCAGTGACCTCGCTGTGTGGTCTAATCCCTTCTGGCCAAACTAGTGCAGATAAGCTTTAAGTGCTGAGGTGCAGCTACAAAGGGGGTACTACAGCAATGTGTGATGGTAAATGAAAGGTCACTGTAAAGCCTTGTTCGGGTACGCAGCGGTACACAGAAGGCCTGTTTTCATCAGTTTGAGTTTGTCAAATAACCCCCTATTTTCAGAACCGCTCAAAATTGCATTTTCACCAGACCGTTACGCTCATCACAAACTAGCTCAGACGGGCGCAAATAGCATGATTATTGTTTTGGAAACCAGTCCAAGATTTCTTGGGATATTTTCTCGATCAAATATTTCGCTGATTGCAACTAGGGACTGATGAATACACAAATTAATTTGTGACCAGGATAGTTCAAATAGTGGGTTATTTGGCAAAATCGAAGCTGATGAGGACAGGCCTAGAGAGATCTTTTTTTTAAATGATATGAAGTGTAATATGCTTCACATTTCTTAATCTTATTACACAAAGCTAAATGAAGATGCGTAAGTCCTTTGTTGTCGCAGTTGCCATTCATTCACACATTTTAAAAATGGTGGGGGTTTATAGCATTACATATGAAGTAGCCTTAATGGGTGTATAAACTTACTTGAGAATGAGTGCCATGGTCTCTTTCCTGTGTTGTCCTTGAAATGGTAATGCTCCAGTCAGCATCTCATACTGTACGGTAGAGAGAGAAAAGTAATTTGATATAAACACAATCATATTTGATGGTTATCGATGAGTTCATCTATTTTCATATGCTTTTTATACCTTCTCTTGTTTAGTAGATCTGTAATGTTGGTACATTTACTCAAAGGTCCATCTTAAAAGAAGGGATTCTTCATGAGAAACCCATGAATTTGTTCACACATGCATTCATTTCTCAAAAGCCACACTCCAGAAGCAAGGAAAGAAATTAAGAGAGAGAGAGAGAGAGAGAGAGAAAGGAAAAAGGAGAGAAGGGAGGAGGGATAGAGAAGGAAGGTGGGAGAGAGAGAGAGAGAGAGAGAAAGAGAGATAAAGATAGAGAAAGAGAGAGAGAGAGCATTCAATTGGATGTAGAGAAATGGAAACAAGCAGGTCACAGTATAAGATAACTCAGTATCAGCTGGGTATGAACACTTAAATTTCTGGACCTGCTAACACAATCTGAAAGGAACTTTGATAGTTACAACTGACTAGTGTATAATAATAAAGAGCTACTACTGACCATAAGAACACCAAATGACCACCAATCAGCTGCTGTAGTATGGCCTCTCCTGTTGACCACTTCAGGTGCCATGTACTCTACGGTACCGCAGAATGAGTATGTCTTGCCATCTACCGACTCCTTGCTTAGACCAAAGTCTGTTAGCTTGATATGACCGTGATCATCAAGGAGTATGCTGTTTAGGAGCAAGAATACAGAAATGTTAACATAGTGACCAATAAACTCTCCTTATCATCATGCTCGTCGTCATTATCATCATCATGGGTACCCGGTAGGATGCGACCGTCATTGTTGGTCAAAAAGTTTTCTAAAGTCAAGTAACGCCTGGCTGGAATGCTCCCCAGGAGCAGAGATTAAGCACACAGTGTGTGCGAGCAAGTATTGAATCCAATGACCGGGGTAATTTTTTTTTGTTGAATGAAATTAATGTGCTGCGTGACGTACGGGACCACAGCGTCCCGTACGTCACGCAGCACATTAATTACATTACAAATTAATTAAAAAATTGGTCAGAACTAAAACTTTCCACAAATGAACTAGCCCATAATAGCCACAGACTCATACCAAAAGATAGCCATATAAATAATTTTATATGTTGTTATTTCTTGTTTAAAGTCTCTAAATGTCCCGTACGTCACAATCCAAATAGCTTGGACCTGCCCTGATACGAAGCTTGCAAACTTTTCATTCCTGCTGCTGTATTCATCTATCGCCATGGTAACTACTTACTTTTCTGGCTTGAGATCTCTGTAGATGATACCTAGTGAGTGGAGGTGATCCAGGGCTAAGGCTAACTCGGCCAGATAGAACTTCACATCCTCCTCTGTAAACATCACCTGCATAATCACAACATAACATTAATTCTCTCTGCTTCTTTAATTTTTTTAATTTTTTTAATTTTTTAGGGGGGGGGTGTGTGTTTTCGTTCTTTTAATAGAAGTTTGAAATATATTGAAATAGATCTTTATTTCATTCATTATAAAAACATCATAAAAACATAAAATACAAAGCATAGTGTACAAGTAAAACAAACACATTAATAGAATACAGCAAGAACAAAAATGTCATATGAATATGGAGACAGCTAGGAAAGGCAAAGGTTTTGTTGGTGCTGCCACCAAAACAAAATATAGTATATTGTAGTTTAAAAAGATGATTAAAAAAAAAATACATGTATATGTATGTAATAGTTTGTCTAAAAATAACAATAGACATGTCTCTTCACATCATCCAAAATGGTAAGACATTATTACACAAGTTCAGTCAATTGGCATTGCATTTAAATACTGGTATGTGTGCTTGCATAAAACATAAAACCAGCACTACTGGTACATGAAATTCAATTTGAAAGATTCTTTGATATCCAACGTCCGAATCTTAAATACGTTATTAAGTCAGGTCAAAATATTTGAACAGTACTTCATAATAAGCCAGTTCATAGTTGCAGTCTGAGCATGAGCAGATAAAGGTCATTGCAGACCAAATTGTGAAATACGCAGAGACAAAATACTGGATAGGTGCTCATTCAAGTTATGTAATTATTATTTATTTATGCACAAACAGTGCACTCCATGATACACAGGTGGAAGTATTCTTTGAAAAAGGGAAACAAAGGCTATTTATTTGGCACCTCCATTGCTGTAGGACTGATTTTTTATAAAATGTACAAGTGGGACCCCTTCATGTTTTGAAGATCTGTGGATATTCAGGGTCATTTGGGACATGTGCTATAAACCGTGAACTAGTCTATTATTAGAGGATGATCGTTTTACTCAATGACAAGCCAATAAAATCAGTATGCCACAGATTAGGCGCGTCTTCATCATCTCAAGATTGCCAAATAGCCCGCTTTTTCTGATTTAGGAAATAATCCTGAAGTTACAAATCGCGTCTTCATCAGCTCAAATTCGACCTCGAAACTTGAACTCGACCTTGAGAAATTAGCTCGAGATATTTTGCTCAGCGTTCGCGCATAGGGTGAGTCTTCGGTCTGGAGAGGACGCACCGGACAAATAGCTGGATATTTTGCGAACTATCCCAAGATATCTTGGGATGACAATCCCGACCAAATATCCCGCTAATTGCAACTTTGGGCTGATGAAGAGGCAAATTAGCTGGATAGTTTGCGATCGGGGTAGTTCAAATAGCGGGATATTTGACAATCTCGAGATAGTGGAGACAGGTCTAGATTATAAGGCACAAGATCAATTTGAGAAGGAATGCTGACTGACTTACTTCTTTGGATAGCCTTGTGAACAAGTCTCCTCCTTTCAAGAAATCAAGGATGAGATAAAGTTTGCCCTCTGTCTGGAATGCTGTAACAGAAAGAAGAAAAAAAATCATGATAAGATCAGCATTTCATTATGTGGCACGGACTCGGTCCTATCATAGTCAAACTTGCTTTAAATTTTAGCAACCGGCTTTTAAAGGTATAGAACAGTTGTGGAAACGCCCCCCTCTCAAAAAATGAAATGGAAGCTCTTATTATCAATCATGTGAAAGAATATGTTTCGACTAATAAGTGATGATACAAATTTTGCCAGAAAATCGTCTACTAATTGATATATTTGGTAAATTATTATATCTCTCTGGACTGGATAGATATTGTGTAGCCCTATATAAAATTTTCTGTGTACAGTGCTTGTAAATTTACCAAGACTGGGCCAAATTTCTAATCATTTTGATGATTCCAGAACCTTGCAGTACACACCAATACTTATACATGTATGCTAGATGATCAACCTTTTCTGATCGATTCCACAACGTTTCTTTCACAATGCAATCGCATGACCAGAACTGGTCTATACCTTTAAGAAAGACCACATGTTTCTATTTTTAAGAAAGACCACCTGTCTCTACAAAGTCCACATTTTCCATTTGCCTGGAAAATTGCCTCTCATTACAGCATGGACTAAAAGAACCTGTACATAAAGGCCACCTGCCTATAAAGATCTATTTCCTTGTCTCCCTTGAGCAGTTTTTATTTATAAACGGGTTTCACGGTACCTGTAGTTCCACACTTGCATTATGTTGCATAATAACAGTGACAACGCCAAGTATTGTCACCTCTCCCCAGAACTAAACCTTCTCTTTAAAGGTAAAGATCAGTTCTGGTCATGCCATTGCATTGTGAAAGAAACCTTGTGGAATCGATCAGAAAAGGTTACGTAATCATCTAGCATGTATTTAGTATTGGTGTGCACTGCAAGGTTCTGGAATCATCAAAATGATAAGAAATTTGGCCCAGTCTTGGTAAAGTTACAAGCACTGTACACAGAAAGATGTATATGGGACTACGCGACATGTCCGCGACATCTGTCAGGTCCAAATAGATATAATAATTTACCAAATACACACTGTATATCAATTAGTAGGCTGTAAAATTTGTATCATTACGTATTAGTCAAAACATATTCTTTCTCATGATTGTTAAAGGCCCACTGCACTACTTGTAGCTACTTGCGCCCTCTATATAACAAACCATGCCTAATCGGTGACCATTGGTCCCCCATGATCCTCTTTTTCTTAATTTAACTGAGAGCTGAGTTGATGAGATAACCACCTGTCCAGTGACCTTGCAGGGCAGTCTAATCCCTCCTGTAAACTATGGCAGATACGCTTTAATAAGAGCTTCCATTTCATTTTTTGATAGGGGGGCGTTTCCAAAACTGATCTTTACCTTTAACTCTGTGATACATGATCAGTTAAGACTCCTCTGATTCTTAGCTGACAGTACATTTAAACAATATGGCTGACCCATAACAGTTTACTGCAGTGGTTGAAATTTCAATACGCAACGCCATTGATGGAACATTTCCAACCCAATCATTAAAGGACAAATCAACCCTCCTAATAAGTTCATTTAAATGAAAGCATAAAGATCAGAGAAACAGAACGGCGAAAGTTTGAAATAAATCGGACAAATATTAAGAAAGTTATGAGTGTTTGACATGAGATCACTACAGCTGTGCGAATCTCAAATTGGCAATTTTGTGGATTGTGACGTATTGACGGATTACTCTCCTGTTTGTCGCGTACAAAAATATCACTTGTATATTTTTTTATCTTCCAAGTGCCTTCACCCTCGGGGCACTACTCAAAATATATCATGTAGAGTACATTATTACAGGTCCTCTAAAAAGAACAGATCATCCCGAGTCATACATTTATGATAAGTTGAAATTTTAGTCATTTTGTGTGTTGGAGCAAATGGGAAAGTTGTCCGCCACTAGATCACATAGCCATTATCAATTCAGCCAAGTTGAAGAGCCCATACCTATATTAATTGCAACTTTCAACAATTTGTAACTTTCTAATTTTTTGTCCGATTTCATTCAAACTTTCATCAGTATGCTTCTCTGATTTTTCTGCTTTATTCTAGACAAGTTTGCTATCAAGGTTGGATTTCCCTTCAATGATTCAGTCAGGAAGTACCCACCTCTATACACTTAACATCTCATTAGACTAAAATGATATCACAAATAAGTTAAATAATATCACAAGTATACAAGTGACACTGCATACATGTTCCTCCCCTCTGCTTGTAATATTGATTCTTAGTATCAATGTTGTTGAAATTTCCTGAAAATATCTTTCTTTAACAAGTAATTCTTAAAAACACACCCACTCATTTTCTAAAAATAAAATTTGGGATGCAGGATTTCCTACGAATCTACACAATATGCATCACCACACAATATGATCCAGGAAACTAAAAAAAACATGACATTACCAGAGATTTAAAAAGGAAATGGATTAAAAAAGCCACAATGACCTTCCTAAGATTAAAATTACATGACAGATAATATTGAATTGTACTAAATATTCTCTGAAATACAAATACTGTATTTATCAAATGAGCACTTCAGCACTACAGGTCCAACCTTGCCAATAGTATGATTACATATGCATCTAAAGACAACCTCTACCACTTAAAGGGATCCGGTAACTTTGTCTCAGATTCTGAAACAAAATTCTGGAATTAGCTCATGCTGCAATGATAATTATAAACCTTTAGGTCAGTCAGAAACCCAATGACTTTTACAAGCCAATCGCCTGTCTGATTATCAAGATATTTATGATTGGAATTACAAATTTTGAAAACCGTTTGCCAAACGGTTTTCATAACACTACAGTCTATTGGGGAAAACAGTATAGTAAAACCGGTCACTCAAAGATTTTTGCTTTTTTGAAGCACTTCTTGATCATTTTGAAGCGCAATATTTTTAGGGGTTCAATATTACACCATATCACAGACACTGATAACACGTACTGTAGGGCCGTGTATCTCAGATTTAACATTGTTAAACGATCCCTTTAATCTGTTTACACAAATAGAAACTCTATTTTTCTTAAGATTTTCAAAGCACTTGATTTAATTATTTCCTGAACATGCTTAATAGATATGAGCAGTAAATGATGCATCATTTCTCATACATATTGGTTGGTAGGAAAATAGACTGTACCAAGGCTTACATGTCAGCATTGAATGGAATTTACATCATTATCAAGTATACATACAAAATAGTTCTTCAGTAGACTGGGAGAAGCGAGACTAAATCTTACAATTGTTTGTTTATATGTATTGGTAGGTACATGTAAAAAATAACCTAATATGAAGTCATCCGTCAAACTGGATCATCATACATCCAAATAATAAAATATCAGTGAAGGACAGAAATATACCGTATTTGCTGGCGATAAGGCCGCAGCGCCGCATAGGCCGCACCCCCGATTTCGACATTTAAAATAAAAATTAAATAAAAAATTGTCGGAGGCGGGATATGAACCCTCCCCTACAAATGTTGATATGACCCAAATCACCGCCTTAGACCGCTCGGCCATCCCGTCCCTAATGCTATCCCTTGCAGTTTTCTCGTCTATATATTGAAATGGATTCAAAATGGCGACTTCGCGTGCTGGATGCTTCACGGCAGCTTCGTTAAACAGGCCTTTCTTTTACTTTTGCAATGCATTGGCACGCACTTAGATCAAGATCTATCAGCAGATGTTGTTTTTGGAAGTTTATTTTCGTCTTCATGTCAACAATGCAAGATAAAATTGTTGGTAAGATGTGTGGAAATGTCCTGTACCATAGTAGTATAGTTATTGTACCGTTTGTTGTCCCATATGTGCAAATTCGTGCTGGTTTTGATTTTTTTTTTTTTTTTACTCTTTCGCCGCAAAGGCAGCACCCCGACTTTTTGAAATTTTGTCTTCCAAAAATACTGCGGCCTTTACGCCGGCAAATACAGTAGGTAACTATCTAACTTATGAAAAATAAATGTTTGAAGGTAAACTAAGTCCACATTGTGATAGGAAGCAAACAATAATATGACATTGTTGTGAATATTACCCCAGTGTTTAGATTCAATTGCTATTCTAAACAAAATAATGCCCACACTCCGCTCCCTGGAGAGTATTCAGGCCAGGCGCCATTTTTTACAAGTGCACACATACCACCCACATTAACATTCACATCCTACCAGGTACCCATTTAACACCTGGGTGGAGGGAAGCAATGAAGATAGAATACCAGTGCTCAAGGACATACATGTACAGTACATTTAAGTGCTGTGCTGGGGATCGAACCCACAACCTTCTCATCTCCACTCATGTGTTCAAACCACTCGACTACAACACCACTCTCATATATGAAGAAAGAAATGTAATTGTAATTGTATGTAGCATGGTGCTACTTGATCCATTGTAGGGTGTTATAGAGACATTGGATCAATGCGACAAGAATGGCCCAAGGGAGTATTCATCCAGGCTACATAAATCGAGAAGATGTCTACTGCAATCAAACTCAATTAGTTGGTACACTTGCATTGATGTACTCAAATGACAGAGCGATGGAGGGAGGGAGGGAGGGAGACAGATAGAGAGAGACAGAGACATAGGGAGAGAGAAAGAGACGGAGAAAGAGACAGACGGATAGAGAAAGAGACAGAGGGATAGAGAAAGAGACAGAGAGTGTGAGAGAGACAGAGAGAGAGACATAGAGACATAGAGAGAGAGAGAGAGACACACACACACACACACACACACATAGAGTGAGAGAGAGAAAGAGACAAAGGGATAGAGAGAGACAGACAGACATACAGGGACAGAGAGAGAGACACACACACACACACACACACACACACATAGAGAGAGAGAGAGAGAGAAAGAGACAAAGGGATAGAGAGAAAGACAGACAGACATACAGGGACAGAGAGAGAGAGAGAGAGAGAGTCACAGAGAGAAAGAGACAGAGGGGTAGAGAGATACAGACAGACAGACATACAGGGACAGAGAGAGAGTGAAAGAGACA